AAAAGACGAAGATGATGGCGATGACATGGACTACAGTCAATAAATGCTCGGTGAACAATTGGTGAACTTTTGGTGAACAAACGGTGAACAGTGTGTGAACTTTCGGAAGTACACTCCTGGTAACTCTCTTGGGCGTGCAAGCTGTTACAGCGCTAACAGGTATCGAAAGTAGAATTGTAGTAGAATTACAAAAATGACCTCCTCAATTTAGGATTAATTATTATTATTATTTTGAACTTTAAAACTCTATTTCTACTACAATTCTACATTGATTGTTGATACAGATACCTTTTTTAATTACTATGAAGTATATAAAACTATAAAGAGAAGAATCTGGAAGTATTAAATGAAGGAGCGCCAGCTCCGGAATGTTGCGAAGCCAGCGGCGATGAGCTATCCACACATCACAGTGACACGTGAGTACGTAGTCAAAAGAGGAGTCAGACACCTTGGATTCAGGTTTGGTAACAAGCGTAACACCACAAAAATTGATCGATTGGATATCATAAGTGGTATCTACCCATTGAACGAATACTCTCAACCGTTGAAGCAAGGTATCAATGTTGTCACCTTTGGATATGTGATGGGCAATGATCACCAGATCATCAACTTTCCAACAACGAACCAAGATACCAACATTTCCAAGTCTCTTGCCAAGTACATCGACTCACTTGCTAAGGGCATGATAGTGATGGTAGTTGCCAATTGTCTCAACATGTCCAAGATCAGTCTGGAAGACGATGCTTTCGAGAGTTTGACACTGCTGGGCAGCAAGTACATCACAAACTTCAAAGATAATAATGACAATGATTGTTGGTTCATATTTATGAAGAAGGGCACTCCATCAGTGTACACTGAGATGGCATTCAATCATTCAACGCCATGCACATCATCCATCTATTTCAATATGGTCATTGATGAGACCATCAACATCTATGTAACGACATCAACACCCACATCCATACCCTCGGGCATGTCAAGTGTGATCAACGTATCTTTGGGAGGCGTGCCAGCCTCATTCACAAGTCATGCCGGTCTGTTGATGGCTGCCATTAGTGAGGACGATGGCAGAGTGTACTTTGCACGCAACTATGATGTCACTAGCACGTCAAGCTTGAGCACACTTCAGATGATCACTGACATCATGTCTATCACCGTTGGTACATTGGTTGTGATCTGCACTGGAGTCCCAAGTCAAGACTTTGCCATATCATATAACCTTGCATTCGCAATTAGTACACTTGGTGCCAAGACAACCATATGCTCTATCACATCAGCTACATCATATGCTGTGATTGGACGGAAGGGTTCACCTGGCTCAGTCCCCGAGAACCTCTCAATCACTGGACCCGTTACATTGTTCACCAACTTCAAGAGACAATACAAACCTGTCAAACCTTACATCCACATCAAGGCAGTGTCATATGCAGTATGTATAATAGCCACATTCAAGCCTAATCAATCAATCATTCTAACTCACTACTCCCAACAAGGCCCCTACTGGACCATCAGACCCTTCGTATATCTTCATCAATGGACTACCAGTGTATGGTACATTTGGAAATGGTTTGAATGTTGTTGCGATTAATCCAACAAATAGCACCGTGATCTTTGCCAACAACTATGATACATCAGATGAGACAAGGAAGCCACGACAAAGTCTCAAGTTCACTCATGATATCACTGACCTGCCCGAGGGTACCATTGTGGCATTGTCAACAATGGGCCGCGCCAGCGATTACCTCGCCGATGCCAGGGCAACAGTCTCCAATTATCTCGGATCATATTTGATATCATCATACACTGATAATCAATCATTTTGTTTGATTTCAACTGTTGGTCTCAACCTGACAGGTGACGCCAGAGTGATGAGTGAGTGTCTTGCAGAAGGCAGCTCATACACTACATGTGATCTTCGATTCCCTTTGAAGTCACTATACACCAACCCAGGCCATACCTTCTGCGTCACATCTGGACAAGAGTCTCGCATCATGGTCAACAATCTGATAGCTATCAACGATACAACGAATGGAATCAACTTGGTCGCTGTAGATCCTGCACTAGGAACTCGCAACTCACATTCATTCAACACATCCACAAGTGAGAGGCAATGGGAGGAACTATACAGCTACATCCAGTGGTTGCCAATTGGTGAGATTGTCTTGCTATCTGTTCAACAATCAATGGGCACACCATTATCACCTGAATCCAAGCGATACCAGATGATGGCCTTTACAATGATTGGAGCATGTCAGTTTATTTGTGTTGGACCAGAGTCTACATACTCGGTGATTGGCACAAGAGGTGCATGCCCAGGATCAGCATTCGAGTCGTACAATGCCAAGAATGTCCAGGTGTGTGTTGGATCATGGGAGCCAATGACGCCTGCTTCACTGATGGGCAGCACTCAGTTTGGTGTGATGGAGAATGAATCGCCACTCTTCACAGTGCCCATGTTAACCAACATGCATCAACATCAATCTCCAATGCCAATCATCCCAAACAACAAAGCATATGGCAACCTATACAGGATTGAACCGGCATTCAATTGGAAGTCACCTCATCCCGATGGGCGACGAGTCAAGGCTCTACTGGTCGGTGTATCATACTACAACACACCATCACAACCTAGCAAAGATATTGAGTTCCACATCCAAGAGCACGCCAGAGCATTGATCCAAGGTGGTTACGTTCTACCACACAACATTAGAATCCTCACTGAGGGTCTGACCGAGGTGTCCGATGACGGTACCTATGTGAATGGTCCATCATGGATATGTATCAAGAATGAGATTTTCTATTGGTTGCTGGAAGATGCCAAGACTGATGACTCACTATACTTTGTCTTTGTTGGACGAGGCTTCACAAGTGAATCATACCCATTTGGATTGGTCACCATGACAAAGGACTTGAAGGCAGCCGATCTCAATGCTTTTACCATCGAAGAATTCAAGTATTGCTTCTCCTCTTTGTCGGCTGGAGTCAACCTCACTTTGCTTTTAGACTGCTCATACTCTTCGGATATGTTGTCAACATGGTCCCCTGGCATCTTGCTACAGACCACAGGCCTGTTTGCCACATCACCAGGCAACTCAATCCCACCAGCCACTCAACAAACAATTCACTCCAATGATCACTCGCATACTCAAGGAGAGTGGATCGACAAAGTTGACTTATAATGAGATAATCACTCGGGTCAAGGGGGAGAAGTTTGTTCCAGGATCGCCCACGCTGTACAATGGTGGCGACAATGTATTCCTGAGTGGCTCATCAACCATCCAGGTGTACCAATATCAAACTACAACTGGTGGAGGATCAGGTGAATATCAATATTGTTACATGACCAACGACAAAATACCAGATCCATGGAAGATGCCCACGCCTCGATGGAGCTTATGGAAATCAGACCGCGAGAAAGGGGAGTCACTCTACCTATTCAATGCTGATCCAATTCAAGTTGATGGACCAAGAAGATACTATCTGTCATTGAGCGTTGTTGAGCCTGGATGGACACTCATTGATAAGATTGGTTATGTATCTCTAGACCCATCCAAACAGTGCAACATTGCAATCCATTGTTATAGTTGCCAGTCATCTGTCAACTCTGTCCAACACTTTGCCTTTCACTCTGTTGTGCCCTCAAACCAACATGGACAGACTTGGGTGGACAATGGTATCGTGTTCTATGCAATTGAATCATCATCAATCAACATGGAAGAAGAGAGGCCAATCGAGTATCCGAGTGCGAGGATCATTCCCATGGTTGATCAAATCGACTGTCGTCCAACTTATCACAAGGATATGTCACCAGAGTCCACATTGGTGATTGGATCAGATGACCAAACTCAAATAGTTCAATCAAGGATTGAATCACTTCAAAGAGAACTGGATGAGTTGAAGAACTCTCTAAGGAATAATAATAAATAGAAGGAATGGTTGATAGAAAATTCTGGAATCATTCCACTCGCAGTATATTTTTTTACTTTAAATGCCTGTCGTTCAAAAGACATATTGCTTCAGTCGGTCCCATACCTGGATTATCACTAATCTTTGTCCATTCATTCATCTTAACAGAGTATTTGAAGTTCTCATCTTCATTCGTACAATAATAAAGTGTTCCACGCTGTGGACCACATGTAAGGATGTAAGGATCAGGTTTAACTGGCGCAGGCGCAAGCACTGTCGATTTGCCAGTTGATAATGATACGCTGATGAAATCCATAATCGCCCACTAAATATAACGTGTCCTTGCCATCGAAGCAACTTGCACGGACTGTCCATGGCAGAGGGTATGACTTCTCGTGCACCAACGTTGTCACATCAAAGAAGTCAATCGCGTTTCTTATTTGAGCATCGGTGGTCCATCCATCGGCGCATATGAGTTGATTGCCTTTGAACCATCCATCATCATTCAACCGAAATGGAATCCCGAATACTCCTCGGAGACAAGGAGTACAAAGTTCCCGTTTGGTCGAGTGACAGGATCATTGATGTCCAACTTGGTCCATTCATTCAGCCTGATTGAGTATCGATAGTTGTGATCATCATTGAGTTGAAGGTAATATAGTGATCCTCGTTGTGGACCACGACATAGTTCATTCCTTGCTACATCTTCGTTGAATGGCAGTGGTGCCAGCTCTGTTGTCTTCCACGTTGTCATTGATACACTGATGAATTGACCCTCCTCTGACAGCATGTATAGCAGGTCATTGCCATCGTGACAACAAGATGTGACGCTCCAAGGTAAGCTGACTTGCCTCACCAACAACTTTGTGGTCAGATTGAACACGCTGATGGACTTGCTTTGCTGGCCCTCTGGTGTAATGCCATCAACACATATGAGCTCGTTGTCTTGGAAGTAGAGTTGCGGCCTCGCCAGATATATGGGCAAGTTTCCAAGATCATCATACTTTTGCTCATTGATATTGAATCTGTACACTTTGCTCACTTGTTCTTGGTCGTTGTCATCATCTACACAATCGATGAGCATGTAGACCATTTCACCGCCATCAAAGGATGATGAAGATTTGATATAATCAGACGTCTTCTCGATTATTCTTTCCCATTCTCCTCTTTTCAAGTTGAACCAGGTATGAATGGATGGACGATCGTAGCCATCGAATAAAAAGATTAGATCATTGGCACAGACTGCAGTGGTCAGTATTGACCATGGGATATGTTGGTGATTGATCACTGACCATGTCTTGGACAATGGCGAGTAGAATGATATGGAGTCTTCAGCCAAGATAATTAAACGACTGTAGTGGTCTGGTGTCTCTTCAATGAACTCGATGCACGACTTGAGTTGGTTCTTGATTGAATCGTACATGTCGAGGTCAATGTCCAATTGGCACACAGGTATATGAACATTGTATTGTGATGTGATCATGTGTTTGGTGCTCTGTTGCACCAATGTCAACAGTTCAGTGTCATTGATCTCGATTGATTGATCATTGTTTGGTGATGTTGATGTGAATGATTGATCGATGAATTGATCGATGGTTGTACTTGATGTGATTGATTGAACGATGTTGTCCATCTCCATACCATCATTGATCTTATTCTTTGATGATTTGAACACATTATTGATAGTCTCAATCTCATTGATGATGTCATTGATTGTTGATGATGTTTGATGCACTCTGTCATTGATCTGTGAGTTGATCTTGTGTTCTTGGAGGATGATCAACTCGTGAAGTTCTTTGCATCGCTCTGTCACCTCCTTGCTGGCTTTAGTGAGTGTCTGATGCTTCGTTGCCAACTCCTTCAATGTACTCCATAACAACTTCATCCTTGATGTTGATGTCTCATTATATTGTTGTCGTTGACACAACATCTTTACATTATCAACATTCTCCACATCATGCTTTCGATGTGATGCGGCAACACATATTGAACATATTAAACAGTTACAATCTAAGCAAATGAACTCATTCTTCTTATTATTATGCTCTTCACATATACTCTCCGTCATTATTATCTTTATCTTTATCTTTATCTCTATCTATCTATCTTCTCTGTTTTGTGTGTGGCAAGTGAGTGAACCATCGTTTTACAACATTCAACCGAACTTGGTTACCGGTCTGTGCTTGGAGACACAGAGTAGATGGTTCTTGTTTGGTCGAGTGACAGGGTCCTTGATGTCCAACTTGATCCATTCATTCATCTTGATTGAGTATCGATAGTTGTGATCATCATTGAGTTGAAGGTAATAGAGTGATCCTCGTTGTAGACCATGACATAGTAGATTCCCTACACCATCGTCGAGTGGTAGTGACGCCAGATCTGTTGTCTTCCAAGTTGTCATTGATACACTGATGAATTGACCATCATCTGACAGCATGTAAAGCATGTCCTTGTCATCGTGGCAACAAGATGAGACGCTCCAAGGCAAGCTGACCTCCTTCAACAACAACTTTGTGGTCAGATTGAACACGCTTATGGACTTAATATAAATAATGAATATGAGAGATATTAACAAAAAACGAGCGAGTTCACAAGGGGGGAGCTAGTGTTGCAACACTTGGACCATAAATTAGTTCATACGTCAGATCGTTCAATGGCAGTGGTGCCAACTCGGTGGTCTTCCACATATAGACAATGATACACTGATTAATTTACCATCCTCCAACAGCATGTATAGCAGGTCCTTGCCATCGTGGTGCTCCCAGGTAAGCTATCCTCTCTCAAGAGAGCATATTAATTTGTCAGTGGTGATGGGATAGGATAGTGTTTGGTCACTGACCATGAGTATTTGATGTCTTCTGACTTTATCTTCTGAATGGTCTATCGCTCAATACCAATGGAATAAAGTTTTCATCTCGATCAAAGAGGTCGATATTATCAGCAATACATGTCCATTCATTCTTACGAATTGAGTACCGGAAGTTCTTGTTGGGACCTTGAAGAAGTATGAGTGTTCCCTTTTCAGGACCACAAGAAAGAGTGTTTGTCTCAACTGGACCGGGTGGAGAGGCCCGATGGGTGATCTTTCCAGTTACCAATGATATGCTGAGGAATTCGCCAACCATGGATAGCATGTAAAGTATGTCCTTGCCATCAAAGCAGCATGTATTGACTGGCCATGGCAATGGGTATGACTTCTCGATCTGTAGTGTTGCCAGGTTGAAGAATTCAACCGTTTGGCTGCTATCTTCTTCATCTTTGCGGTTGAGCACTGCATCCACAAATATAAGTTGATTGTTTATGACAAAGTGATAACGAGAATCGCAATACATCGGTAGCTGGCCTATACAAGAGAACTGTTGTGTCTCTATATTGAACGTGTAGATCCACGACTCATCCTCGTCGTCTGTGGTAGCGATGTAGATCAGTTTGTCTCCATCATAGTACGACGCTGCTTCATAATCGTCAGAATTGTCCTCTAATATATCATAGTTGTACCATTGACCGTCATCTAGTGAGTACCAGGCGAATGTGGATGGCTCCTCATTACCACTGAACAGGTACACTTTGCCACGAGCATATACAGATGTAAGCGAGGTTTCCCATTTCTTTGGTTTGTGATCAAGCAACGACCATGTGTCAGAAAATGGTGAGTAGATTGAAATGGTCGCTTCACTGATGACCATTAAACAATTGCGATTGTGGGCTGTCTCCTCCAGAAGTTCGAAACAAGTTCGAAGTTGATGTTTGATGCCATCCAATGTGTCGTGATCAATGTCCACCAAACATCTTGGGATATGTTTAAAATGTGATTCATACTTTAGTCGAACACTCTGTTGTACCAATGCTAACAACTCATTGCTACTATTGCTGATCTCGATTGGTTGATCACTATTGGGTGATGTTGATGTGAATGATTGATCGATGAATTGGTCAATCGTTGTACTTGATGTGATTAATTGAACGATGTTGTCCATCTCCATACCATCGTTGATCTTATTCTTTGATGATCTGAACACATTGTTGATGCTCTCAATCTCATTGATGATGTCATTGATTGCTGATGATGTTTGATGCACTCTGTCATTGATCTGTGAGTTGATCCTGTGTTCTTGGAGGATGATCAACTCGTGAAGTTCTTTGCATCTCTCGGTCACTTGCTTGCTGGCCTGAGTGAGTGTCTGATGCTTCGTTGCCAACTCCTTCAATGTACTCCACAACAACTTCATCCTTGACATTGACGTCTCATTATATTGTTGTCGTTGACATAACATCTTTACATTATCAACATTCTCCATTTCATGTTTACTATGCACTGTTACGACACATATTGAACATATCAAACAATTACAATCAAGACAAATGAACTTGTTCTTTTTGTTATTATGAGCATCACATATACTAGTATTATTAACTTCCTCCATCTCTTTCATTATTATTATTTGTTTATCTCTATGTTTGTATCACAATCTGTTTGAAATTGATAAAGTGAAGTGCAAAGGGGGGATTCTTGATTAATTTGATGTCATCTGACTTTATCTTCTTGATGGCCTATCACTCAATACCAATGGAATATAGAATTGACCTCTATCGAAGACGTCGCTATTATCAGCTATCCTTGTCCATTCATTCTTACGAATTGAGTACCGGCAGTTCTTGTTGTTACACTGTAGAAGGATGAGTGTATCCTTTTCAGGACCACAAGATAGTGTGTTTGTCTCAACTGGGTCGGGTGGAGAGGCCAGATGAGTGATCTTCCCTGTTGCCAATGATATGCTGAGGAATTTGCCAACCTTGGATAGAACGAATAGTATGTCTTTGCGATCAAGGCAACATGCATTGACTTGCCATGGCAATTCGTATGACTTCTCGGGTTGTAATGTCGCCAGGTTGAAGAATTCAACCTTTTGGATGCTATCCGCACCCTCCTCACTGCTGATCAATCCACTATTATGAGTTGATTGTTTATGATGTAGTAATAAATAGTATCGCGAAATACCGGTAGCATGCCAATACAAAAGAACTGTTGTGACTCTATATTGAAGGTGTATATCCATGTCTCCTCATTATGGTCAGTGGTAAAGATGTAGATCAGTTTGTCTCCATCGAAGAACGATGTTGATTCAATATAGCGAGAAGCATCCTTGATGTCATAGTTGTGCCATTGACCGTCATCCAGTGAGTACCAGGCGAATGCGGATGGCTCCTCATTACCGCTGAACATGTACACTTTGCCACGGACATACACTGACGTAAGCGTGGTATCCCATTTCATTGGCTTGTCATCGAGCAACGACCACGTGTCTGACATTGGTGAGTAGATTGACATGGACTCTTTACTAATGACCAATATACGATTGTCAGCTGTCTCCTCCAGAAGTTCGAAGCAAGTTCGAAGTTGATGTTTGATGCCATCCAATGTGTCGTGATCAATGACCACCAAATATCTTGGGATATGTTTATACTGTGATTCATTCATTAGTCGAACACTCTGTTGTACCAATTTCAACAATTCATTGCTACTAATGCTGATCTCGATTGATAGGTCACTGTTGGGTGACGTCAACATTGATGTCGATGTGAACGATTGATCGATGAACTGGTCAATCGTTGTACTTGATGTGATTGATTGAAAGATGTTATCCACCTCCAATAGATCATTGATCTTATTCTTTGATGATTTGAACACATTGTTGATGCTCTCAATCTCATTGATGATGTCATTGATTGCTGATGATGTTTGATGCACTCTGTCATTGATCTGTGAGTTGATCTTGTGTTCTTGGAGCATGATCAATTCGTGAAGTTCTTTGCATCGCTCTGTCACCTCCTTGCTGGCTTGAGTGATGCTGTGTTGCCAGCTGTTGTAGTGTACACCACACAACAACTCCATCCTTGACATTGACGTCTCATTATATTGTTGTCGTTGACATAACCTCTTTACATTATCAACATTCTCCATTTCATGTCTCTTATGTGTTGTTGCAACACATATTGAACAAATCAAACAATTACAATCAATACAAATGAAGTCGTAACTCTTACTATGTTCATCACATTCTCTATCATCTTTCTTTATCATTGTTGTTGTTATTATCTGTCTCTCTATCTTTACACATTAACACAAACATTGACTTCATCTTTTGAAACTTCAAATTTGTGTGTTTGATTTCAAAAACGAAAGACGAGTAGTCAAAGCAATCAGTTCATTCATTTAGCAACCCAACGTAACATAATATATATAACTATAAATGGATAACCAATCATCACCAACTATAACATTGGAATCAATAGGATTGACAGATTGGATAATAAAGAATCTAAATGAACAGGGTATCACAGAGTTGTTACCAGTACAAAGTGAGATCGTCCCATTCATAGCAAGAACAGAGGGTCATGACATTTGTGTCTGTGCTCCAACAGGTTCCGGTAAGACACTTGCCTATGTCCTACCAATTGTACAAGTATGTATCATCACTCACTCATACATCACTGATTCATTCAATCACTAACTCTATCGATCACTCACAACAATCAATCGATCGATCATCAATCATAGAAACTTCATAAGAGAATAGTAAGACGATTGAGGGTCGTGTGTATTGTACCTACACATGACTTGGTGACACAGACAGAGGCTACATTCAAGGCAATGACTAAAGGTACTACTCTGGTCGTCGAATCACTGGGTCAGCGAGCATTCAATCTCGAACAAGGCTTGCTAGTATCAACACATTACAATGATGAGTATGCATTACATTAGTTGTCATCACATTCATAGACATACTCACACATACCTTACCCACCGGTTAGGAATGATGATGTACACTATGAGAGCTTGGTGGACATACTGGTGACGACACCTGGTAGACTTGTGGAACATTTGAATGAGACTCCTGGCTTCGACCTCCAACATCTCACATATCTAGTCATCGATGAGGCTGATAGACTGTTGCGTGATTCATTCCAATTCTGGTTGGAGAAGGTCATGGAGTCGACAAAGGCCTTGAAGCCAAGGTCAATATCAGTATCAAGTAGTGGGTAAGTCTATGTGCCACGCCACGCCACGCCTCTCCACGCCTCACCATCTAACTCTGCATCTACACATCATCATCACAGTGACATTAGGATACAGGACTCAAAGTATGGTACACATGGATCACATTTGGATCATCTGTCATTCAAGGAGGCAAGAGTGATCAAGTTGTTGCTATCGGCCACAATGAGTTATAATCCAGAAAAGATATCAATGTTGGAGTTGAACGCACCTTTATACTTCCAGTCCAACAAGATATCCGATCTGAAGTATACTATACCCGAGTCATTGAAGGAACACTATGTAACTTGCTTTGCCGATCAGAAGCCATTGGTGTTGCTCAAGTTGATCGCTCTGGCATTCAAAGCAAAGGAGGAACAGAGCTCCGAGCAACAGTCAATTACCGCGTCCACAGACACATCAGCAGCGGACAACGATTCACATCCACGTATAATATGCTTTACCAACTCCAAGGACACTGCACAGCGACTAAACACATTGCTTGGACTGATTGGACAAGTGGAAGGCTACAAGCTCAAGACGGCCGAGTACTCATCCTCCATCAACTCCATCGAAAGAAGCACTCTTCTCAAGTGTTTCAAGAATGGCGAGATCAACATGTATGTGTCCACCATCATATTGGAACTATTCCGGTCACTCACCAATCACTCAATCACTAACCATTTCCATTCCAATCAAACAAACAACAGTCTGATATGTAGTGATATTTTGGCCAGAGGTATGGACGTGCCTAATGTGGACACGGTCATCAATTACAACTCCCCGCCATCGTCTGTGTTGTACGTTCACAGAGTGGGTAGAACTGCGAGAGCTGGACGCGAGGGTTCAGCCTACACTATACTGGAGCAGGAGGAGCGCAGTTTCTTCCTTGGTATGATGAAGAAGACAGGAAGATCACAAAAGCTCAACAACCTCAAGTGGAAGCGAGACGACTACACCAAATACGTCAAGAGGTTCAAGCAGGCACTGAATCAGACCAGAGTCATATATACCAAGCGCAAGGCGACCGAGCAGCTGATGAAGTCAATCAACAGTGGTGCCACAGTTGGCAGCATGCAGGACAGCAACACCATCGTCCAAGACCTGTTCGAGATCAACAAGAAGCGAGCAACAATGAACTTTGATAATTGATCATGATTGATTGAATGGATATATGATTGATGTTATTAATGGGACACGCCCACTACTGATCGTTTAAAGTACAAGTTGGCTTCGGCATCGTTCTTCATTTGGTCGCGCAAGAACTCTCCATAGCGATGACACCAGTAGGCGCTGGCTGGCTCAAGGTCTGCAGCCTGTTTGAGGTATTGTCCAGCTCTCTCCACATCCTTGCGTGTATCCAACAGGAACTCGCCATAAAGTCCAAGACCACGAACGTTTGTTGGGCCTGATGTAACCACCTTCTTGAACATCTTCTCTGCTCTGTCCAACTCTCCACTCTTCTTGCAATTGATTGCATAATGTAGCAATAGATCAGAGTCGTCCTGGTCCAGTGCAATCTTTGGTGAAGCGTGCTTGTATCCTGGATGGGATTGAGTGGGTGAGTGATTGTTTTGGAATGATCCCAAAGTGATCAAATGTTTACAACGAGTGAGTGAGGTAACTTACCCTCTTTGTATATCTCTTGTGCCTTGGCAGAGTCGTTCTTCCTCTCGTAGTACTCGGCATAGGCGGTCCATGTTCTGGAGTTGTCTTGGTCGGCCTGGATGGCCCTCCTCAGGGTCTCCAGCGCCTCTTTGTCATTGCCCTCACTGGATAGGATGATGGCATAGTCTGTGAGAGCATTGGCATCGTTGGGTGCATCCTCCAATCGCTCCCTTATATCACCTTTATTCTTCTTGTCCACCTCATTATATATTGACTTTGGTGTAGAGTCTGTCGTATCAACCTTTACACTCGATTGTTTACCACTTGACTTTGAAGTCTTTTCCTTCTTCTCTTTACCACAACAACATCCCATTCTTTATCTCTATAACTTATAATTTTCTGTACACTATTTGATTGATTGTTTGAATGATTGAGTGAGTGAGCGAAACAAACAGTCTTTGTAGTATTGCCTCAATGAGCTGGCTGGCTGTTATCTACATCAGAGTTTCATCAGTCTCAATCAATCATCCAGGATTATGGACCCATCTGATCAGATCGGAATCAAGATTTGTGTTTCACCCACACCCATCCAACACCCACTCACCCAATCACACACTCTAAACACTACAGTCAAACACGACGAACGAACGAACTATGATCGACATCAGGGACTGAAGATTGACAACAAAGGTAAGCAATCGAATGATTGAAAGAATGATTAAGGATGCAAAGAGACACATTTATTATTGTAGTAATACTAGGTCAATGGCATGAGGAAAAAGAAGGAAGGAAGGAAGGAAGGAAAGGTACAGGGTTGAAAAAAAGGAAGGGAATGTAGACCAACTAACTGGTTGGTTTAGATTCTCTTGGCATCGATGACTGGCTCAGCGCCCTGGATGGATGCGACGGTGGTGGCTGGGGTGAAGGGTGGGAGACCCTCTGATTGCCACTCGTTGACGGTGCCCCAGCTGGTTCTGAGCTGCTGACGGAGGTCGTTCCAGCCCTCGGTGACGAGGACCTGGTCGACGGTACGGTAGGCAGAGTTGAGGGCGCCGAGAATCCAGGCGTGGTGGACACTGGTGGCCTCACCGGCAAAGTGGACGGTGCCGTTGGCCTCGGACTTGATCATCTCGGGGAAGTACAGGGAGAACTGGCATGGGGAGAAACCGGCGAATGAGCCAGACTGGTATTGGTAGTCATCCCAGTTCCAGATCTTCCAGTCGAGCAACTGGCGGTCGAGGTACTCGACGTCGACCTGATGGAGCTCAGCGAGGTTCTGGAGCAGGAGCTGCTCAAGCTGCTTCTTGTCGTTGGTGAGACCAGAGAGACGGATTCCGTCCTGGCCCCAGGTGTAGCCGACGAGGATACCGTTGGCGTACGAGCGGGTGTCGTTGATTCCGTATGATGGGTAGTTGACCTGGCGGATTGGCAGATCGGTCGAGGACTGACCTCCGTAGATTGGACGGCCGTTCATGACGATGGGGTCCTCCCACCAACGCGAGCGGAAAGACATGGCAACCTTGACGGAGTGGTCGTAGGTGAGCGAGCGGATGGCCTCACGCTTCTTGAAGGACAGGTTGAGATCGCCAGTGTCGATTCTCTCCAAGACTCCGAGGGCGACGGTGCTGATCACGTGGTCGTAGTTACGGGTGCGACGCTCTCCCTCAACTTGGACGGAGACGGTTGGGCGGGCGTTGACGCCAGTGCCTCTTGGTGCACCTGGGGCGATTCTGTTGACTCTCTTGCGGGTCTCGACGGAGCTGCGGCCAATCGAGTCGAGGATGGCATCGACAAAGGAGTGCGTACCTCCCTCAATGTGGTAGTACTCGGCGGCGGTGAAGTCGAGGAAGTTCAAGACGGCCTCAGTGATCGAGTTGAAGTCGAACCAACCAGTGCCGACCAATTGGGTCTCGAGGTAGGTGATGAGTGGCTGTGGGTAGCTGGCAAGGGTGCCGTTTGGCTGGCACTCTCCATCCTTGAAGACGTTGGCCATGTAGTAACGGACGCTGAGACAATCCTGCTGCAAGAGCATCTTGTAGCCCTGGTCAAAGTTCATGGTCATGGCGTAGATGAACTTGCCAATGACCTTGCCGACCCAGTAGGTGGGTGGCTTGGCAGCGAAACAGTCTGGCACACCGGAGCCAACACCGCCGTTGTACTGGTCACCAACGTGGAGTGGGTCGTTGATCATTGGGGTATCGCCGTAGTTGCGGATTCCGTTGAAGTAGACGGGGTTGTTCTTGTGGGAGAGGTAGTATGGGGCGGTGGTGACTGGGTTGCCGAGGGCGCGCAACTTGCTGACCAAACTCCAGCTCGACTGACCAATGACACGCTCCATGACACCGGTCTTGGGGAAACGCATGGCACCGAGGTCGACATAGTCGTTCTCGTTGTCGGAGAAGTAGTGGGTCATGACACGGCCACCAATGCGGGGGCTGGCCTCAATGATCTCAAAGTCGATGCCCAACTCGTCAAAGATGAGTCCGGCGTACAGTCCAGCCATACCGGCACCGACGATACCGACGGTGATGTCACGGTGAGCTGACGAAATGTTGGTGACTGGTGGAGCAGAGCCAACGAGGGAGGCGGCCAAATAATCACGGGCCGATGGGTCAGAGGCAGCAATGTTAATGCTGACCAATGCCAATAATAAGCATGAAAGGATTAACTTCATTTTGGATATCTGTGTGTTGGTTGAGTTTGATTGATTGTTTGTGGTTGTGTGATTGTGGGAGTGGGGTTAGGTCAGGAATAGTTCCACATCAAGTATAAGTGATGTGTGTGTGTTGCAGACTTACCTTCGATGGATAGTCCAACTTGAGTATTTGATGTTACAGATAAGTATTGTTAATGTTTTAATGAATTGAATGAATGAGAACTGACCGGTATGTATAGGTGTCGAAGGCACTCAGAGGAGGTCAGGTACGGTAGTGACATCAATGAGGGAAATCACATCTATGATCACTTTATTTCTGAATATTTTGTCACCATTCCTATTCCTGTTTACCGGTGTGGATAGATAGAAGGGGTTGTGGAGGAGAGGGGTGGTCATACGCCATCATCATTACAACCACCAACTCACACTCTTCAGAAGATGGTAAGAAGACAAACAAACATGTGATTGTGTTTGCACACACGCATTTATCAAACTTGCACATTCTATTACATCTCCTGGATGCAAGGCCACAGAAGGCAAAACCGTTTCAAACATACATACACACACGTCCATCTCCCAAAGACAAAGATATCTTTGTCCAGACTTTTCTCAACACGTCGCGACATGTTTTGGGCATTTTGAGATTCGAGTGCGAGATGAAAGTCCCCGCGGCACAACGCACGAGATTGATAGCCAATCAGGATGCAAGGCGAGTGCCCACCTCACTCGTGACGATGTGTGATTGTGTGTGATAGCATGGTCATAACCTACAGAGTCTCTGTCCTATCGTCACGAGTGAGGTGGGCATGCATAGGGTTCACCGAAGCAAATCCGATTTCGCGCGAACCATTGGTGAGTGAGTGTTGGTCGCGACTGTTTGGACTTTGATTGATCGAGCGGGGCCAACTACTCACTTTTCAAGTGTAACTTGACCAGGTTCGGTCCATACATAGCCAGGGCAGTTGAAACACATACCGTCAGTAGTGTCTTTGCGTGGCGCAGGACATGCCCTCTGCTCTATTTGTCCAAAGGCGTGTCCTTAGTAGTTAGTGGTCATCTATTTGGGTCACATCTTGAACACGGCGCTGGATGCCAACTGTTCTATCGAGCTTCTGGGTGTACCCCAACTGCTGTCATGATAGGGTCAGCTTGCGATGGAGTGTCGACATCACCTTTGTACCAAACACAATCAGGTGTCTGTCCATCGTCACATCACATTGTCGTAATAAGGGATATCAGATTCTATTCTTGTTTGTCTTTGTTGTGTTGTCCTCATTCTGAAGGTCCTGTCCATGTCTCAACACCATGGTGTTTGGTCTTGGACAGATAAAGATAGATACATATTGAACATCAATCGAAGCGATGAATATCCCTATGTGATCTCATTCGATCGATCTTCGATTTATGAGCTGTATGTGATTGTGATCACATTCCCTCAAGGCCTCGCACTTCACACTTTTGTCGCTTGTTAATCACAATCCGAGAAGAAGGAGTCCATGGATGAGGTGTTCGAACATGCGTGTAATATTATTATTATTATGTATTATTATGTATTATATTCGTTTAGGCTTGATTTGATGTGATCCACTTGTGAGTGGCAGCAGGTGCCTCGGATGTCTCAAGACGACGCAGCAGATCATCGACATTATCACTAAAGATAATACGGTTTACAAAGCTCTCATTGACGAATCCCTTCTCTGCAGAGTTCCTCAATAATGCCTCCAAGTGTGTATAATATCCATCAATGTTCAACACTCCAACTGGCTTTGAATGGATGCCCAGCTGAATCCAGGTCAATGCCTCGAACAACTCCTCTGTGGTGATGAGCATGTGTAAATGTTAGTCGCACGCCAACTCAATCAAACAATCATAATATGTATACATACCGAATGTTCCAATTCCACCTGGAAGTGCAATGAAGGCATCAGCCTTCTCGTACATGATCTTCTTGCGGGTGTGCATGTCGTCCACGTAGATTACTTCGCCAACTGTGACGCCAGAGATCTCTTTTGGTGCGAGGGCGCGTGGGATCACACCAAGTACACTGCCACCATTTGTTTGAACGGCCTCTGCCACTGCACCCATCATACCATGATTGCCACCGCCATATACCAACGAGTACTTTCTCGCGGCAATCTCCTCTCCTAACTTCTTGGCCAATGTCACGTAGTTTGCATTGGTACCATCTCGCGATCCACAAAAGACACAAATGTTTGTAAGTTTGTTGTTGACTAACATAGGCTCCATTCTACTTCTACACCTTACTAACTACTACTACTACTTCTTTATATTGTATATATGTATTTATATATATTTGTGTTTGTTTGTAATTGCAATGAATGATTATTGGTCAGTTGCAAACGAATAGACGAGGTTACCCCCAAAGATCCATCTTCAAATTCTTTCTTTGTTCCTGGCTGACAACCGACTTTTTTTTAGATTTAGATCTTAATCTTGTCTAAACAACAACAACAATTCCTTACTTACTTATTAGATATATATTATACATATAATACTACATCTTCATATGAAGATGTATTGAATTGTTTATGATTGGTTGAATGATTGATTGATCATTCGTTCATTCATTCATTCTTATTCGTTGAGCATGCAGACGAGAGGCACCCTTGACTTAACTTATTGTGTCTTTGTTGATGGATACATATCCATATATAAATCTGGGTATATATGATATTTAAAATAAGAAATAATATTATTTGTCCACATTGATGCCAATCAACTCTGTCTCAAGGAATGAAGACAACTGAATCAATTTTCGAATGTTCCCACCTGGTTGTGTGGGAGGAACAAAGAAACAAACAGTGGAGTGAGGGAGAGCATGTCGAATGAGTGTGTGAGCTGGGTTCACACTTTGAGCATGTTGTGTTAATGATCATTCAATCAATCAATCAATACCTTTGTTTAAACATATACATATACTCTTATACATACTTCTAATCAATAATTAAATAACAACAACAACAATGAAGGCTCTACCATTTATTGCAGGTGCTTTGGTATGTTTGTTTATCAAGAATGAATGAATGAATGACGTTCAAACAGGACTGAATACTCACTCAATACTTACTTATAATCACTCAATCGCGGCGAGTAGTTTAGCGTTGGATGGTTCTTGTGGATTGATGGACACGTCTATGAGAACGTTCGTAACAATAGAGATCACGATCAGTTTGGCCCATCGATTCAATGGCTCTTCTATCTACCGGGTATATTCGCTACAGTTGGTCTGGTGATGGCAAACATTGTCAACTTGGAATCATTGTCGTCATTCAGCTTTGCCGACGAGGGCAGCGCCACCAAGATCCGCGTCTGGCTCTTCCTCAGCTTTGCCATCAACTTTGGTTGCATCGCCGCTGCCATCTGGATCATGGTTGCCAACTTCATGCCACCTCACAACAAGAACTCTGATGCTCAGTATCCAGGTATTGCTCTCACTGTCCAGAACGTACTTATATTCATTAGGTAAGTTCTTGTGATTGATCACAAAGAGAGAGTGAGATCATGAAGGTATAGTTGCTAACATATCTTTTCCTTCGTCGTACATCTGTAGTTCACTGATATTGGTATACTCCAAATCACGTCAAGAGGAAGAGCAATATTAGATGATCAATTAGGTAGTTGATCTGATGTTGCAGAGGGTCATCATGTAACAACAACAACGACAACAACAATGACATCAAAGAGGAGATAGTTACCCTTTAGTCACAACAGACAGTTGTTGATTGATTGATTGTTGCCATATGGCAAGAAGCAACAAGAGAGAGACGTTCATCACATGTATAGACTTGTTAAATAATAAGAATAGTATCCCATCCCATCTCCCCATCCATCTTACCATCCACTCCACTTATTAATGTCGTTCGTCCACACTCTTTGATTGTTTGTTTAAGTTAGAGGAAAGGAAGGCTACTTTATTCGCTACGCGCTCGTATCTATCAATGTGTATAAAGTGATGGACAGTGACTTTAAGCCTTGACGATCTTCTGGGCCTTGGACTTGTAGAGCTTGAGGAGAGCAGTCTTGCGGTAGTGAGCAACGGTCTTCTGCTTGCGGGTGGCCTCGAGCTTGGCAACGACGTCTCTGTATTTCCAACCGCACTGGCTGGCCAACTGTCCGAGGACGGTGACCTTGCGGGCTGGGTTCATCTTGACGATGTGGAGGGCCTCTGGCACAACCATCTTCTTGAGTCTGTCGTATGGTGCTGGGCAACCCTCGAACATCTTCATTCTGTGGAGAGCGAGCATTCCGCGTGGAGTTCTGTGTGGCAACATTCCACGGACGGCACGCCAGAAGATCTTGGATGGCGAACGGTTGTGACGGTGTCCGCGGGCGTGGTTGGTGTTGGCAGTGAGGTTCATGAATGAAGACCACTTCAACTTGTTACGGTACACTGTTATATTGGTTGACGATCGCGATTATATGTTAGGGTGCATGTTCCTGTTTCATTCATTCGTTCGTGTTGTGTCCTGTTGCTGCTGTTGCTGATCTCAATCTCGCTTGTGTGTTCGCCATTTGTGATGACTCGCTCGCATGTATCGTATACTAATGTGACCTGCCTGACCTGAGTGCAACAACAAGCAGGAATGATGGTGATTATGTGATGATTACTTACATGGACCGGAGACAATGAGCTCCTCACAACGGACAACAACAACCTTTTGTCCGCACAAGAGCTCCTTGGCAACCTTGGAAGCAAGACGACCGAGAAGGTGTCCCTTGGCATCAACTATAACTGTCTGTTTGAGTTTGATTGTGGCGTATGTATTAGATCTTTGAGCACAGCACTGTATCAATCAAGTCGCTTATGTGTATGAGTCGCTCGGGAGTTGATAGTTGAATCATGTTTCATGACGAATGAATGAGTGATCGTTGTCTTTATCTTTGTCGTCTCGTCGTTTAATCGCAATTTCATCCACAAGCTGTTGATCATTCATTCATTCATCATTTGGCTCATCATCATGAATGAATGAATGAACGAATGAAGCCAACAAAAACCTGATGTGTCCATATGAGATGTGATCGATCGTCTTGTTGATAATGTGTCTTGTGTCATATCATGTCAAGTCGTGACGAGTTGAGTCGTGTAGTGTCATATCATGTGATGTCGCATAGTCTAGTAACTACCTTTGTGAACATTGTTAACCTGTTTATCCTCTATATGAATGATGTGTTGTATTAGATTGTGTCAACAAACTACCAAGTCATACTCTCGCTCACCTCGCCAGCCTGACTGCCAAACGAGACACGCACATTCAAAAAAAATCATTCCACTCAGAAGAACTTTCATTTTTATAAAGGCCCGGGCTTTTATTTTCATCATTGCCTAGGTTGTTAATCTTGTTGATCGTTTGGAATGGTCCAATTATTATTGGATTGTTATTATTAGTGTATTTTGGTATAAGGATTGATTGAATAAATAAAGTAACAAAGACAAAAGGAGCAGGTGTCAATTCTATCCATGATTGATTTTTGATTGCCTGATAATTGTTAGGCGATTAAGAATGATGGAGTCTTCATGTT